ATTGGGATTGTAATCCTCTACCTTAACTTGGCTGAAAATTCATTATTAAAAATATCTATTGCAAACGAGCTTCTACCTCGACATCTAAACAGGCAGGTAGTAATAAAAAAAGCTTACTTTTTTGTAAGTCTGGGAACACCTAAATGCATATTTCCAAAGAAATTAATGATTGCATCATTTTGGATAGCTGCATTTTTTGTAAAACAGGAGTGATGTCTCAGAAAGTAGGAATGCCTCTGTTTGCTTTAGGAACGACAGGCTTCGATGCTTGTATATAACTGACCATTTTTTTAGAAATTTAATTCTGGTGAATTTGCTTTTATCTCTCATTTCGTTCTCTCATTGCACTAAATGTTGTTTAATAGTCGTTATTGCTAAATTATTTCCGTAAGGAGCCCCGGCAAAATACACCAGACAAAATGTTGCTTCTCTTGCTGTAATCGCTACAACATTCTTAGCAAAGGTTTTCATATTTTATACAAATGCTCTTATTACGTTACATTAAATACAAAAAGCACTGTTTTATGTAATTAATTTTTTTCAAAAATTGTTTTTATTCAATCTATATAGTTTATCATTCGTTGTTTCTTTTTGTTTTCCTTTGTTTCGTTTTGTTGCTCCCTGTTTCGTTTTGTTGCTCCTTGTTTCGTTTTGTAACTCATTGTTTCGTGTTATACTTTCAGTAACGCATTTATAAATTTCTGAGCACGACATATGTTTTTTCTTTTGCTTTCCAGTGCATTTCTGTAGTAAAATTATCTACAATTTTTTCTGTAGTAAAATTATCTACAGTGTATTTCTGTACTAAAATTATCCATAGTGCACTCCTCTAGTAAAATTATATGAGTGCAATTCTATAGTAAAACAATTTTTCAACTAGCAATTGTCATACATTGAAAAAGAACAATGGGAAATGGCAGAATAAATCAGGAACTGTCTTCGAGAATCGAAAAGTAAGCAATTTTGAAATACAGATGAATCAATCGATAAAGACGAACAAATGAAATCCACATGCCGTAGACAAGGAAAAAGAAAATCGATCATGTTATATGACTATTTTTTAAATTGTTTTTTTTTAAGAGAATAGAAGTAGAAACTGGAATACCAAAACATTGCTTGAGAGCTGTGGAATTAATTAATTATAAAGATGTCGGTCAGTATTTAGATTTATGTCAGGATTCAGACGATTCCAACCATTCTGCCGTTGTGAATAGAGAGAATACAAACAAGTATTAAGGAGACTTGCGGATCTCATGCGATATCGAACGATTATTTCTGATGAAAAGACCCAAAATAATTTCTAAAGGATATTTTCACAAACGAAAAGTTCTCGATTTGGCAATGCATACCTAAAAAGCGAAACATAATCACTGATGCAGCCTCAAAGAAAAATGTGTTCGGATAGATTGTATCAAGTAAACAAAACGCAAAGAAACAGTAAAAAAAAAAAAAAAGGCGAAACATCCTAAGTGAATGCAGCCTTTTGACACAAAGATCATAAAAACCAGACATGACAGAGTAGGAGCGGTGATACAATGGGAACTATGCAAACGTCGTGAGATCAACGATCAACGCCAAATGTTAATAGTATACATCAGGTTTCCCCGAGAAAATACGAAGAAAAATAATACAGGACTTTGAGGTCCAAACCAACGACTATCTTAAAAATTAAGAAATAAATTTGCTTATTGTGACCAAGGGAAAAATAACTTATCGTGAATGGGGACTTACCAGGAAGCCATAAAATGAATATAAGAGAAAAGTAAAAAAAAAAAAAAAAAAGAAAGAAAAATGCCAAGACCTTGCTTGAGAAATGAGTGGATCGAACAAAATCAGTGTCAGGCTTAAGACGATTATATTGGAGATTTGATGAAGGGCTGGAATTGTCCGGACTATGACTATGGAGGCTGGCAAGAATCCAGAGAAAGGTATTGGAGATTTAAGAAGACTTTATCAAATAGTAGTAGTAGTAGTAACAATAATAATAATAATGATAATGATAATAATATGAACTTTTCTATCAACATAAATCGAAAAATACAGGGAAATCGCACAGACATTATTATCAAAGATAGAAATGAAAAGAAGTTTGCCCAATGATTGACATGAACCTAAACCTAACCCTAACCCAACCCTAACCCTAGCCCCTAACCCATGAGCATACCTAATGAAAAAAAAAATCTCCGTGAGAGCTTTTTCAAAAACTAAGCGAATACAAAGTGGTGGAAATAGAAAAAAAATGTGGCACTTAAAAACTAAAGTTGTTCCTGTTGTGGTTGGAGCTTTGGGTCTGATAAAGAAAGGAACTCAATAACATATCAATAAATGCACCATATCTCCAGGAAATCCGCAAAATAGTTCTTCCAAGCGCAGACCATATGCTGCATGAGCTTTATTTCTTTAAGTTTGGTTTTGTTAATAGCTGACTTTTGTTTAATTAAGTGCAAACAATAAGAAGATCACATCCTTCGCTTATCTTAGGTCATTTGCTTATAACTCGGCACATATAAATGCAGGTCAAAAATCTTTTTAAAAAAAATCATAATAATAATGACAACAAGACGAAAAAGAAAAAGAGAATAGAAAAAAGATGAGAAAATAAGAAAAAAAGAAGAGAAGAAATGTGAAAAATAATCAACAAAAATTAAAAAAAAAAAAAGACGATAAAAAAAACAATAATAATAATAATAAGTTAATAGAGGAAAAGAAGAAAAAGCGAAAAACGGAAATAAATAAAAAAAGGGACATTTTTTTTTCATTTCTTTCTTTTTCTAGAAAATGGTGCTGGCTAAGACAAGATAAAAGACTTGGCAATAATAACGTGTAAACTCCTTTTTTATGGTTACAGAGGCCGTTGACTTTCAAAGCAAAGATTATGATGGCGTCATTTTTTAAATTATAAAAAATGAATCAATTAATTTTTGCTGCATTTTTAACTGTCAATGTAGATAATTCAATATTCAGAAAAAAAAAAAATCCAGGCACAGGTGACATCCATTTGAGAGACAAACCCAATTCATTTCATATGCAACGTTTAAAAAAATAATATAAAAAAAACACAATGAAATAAAACCAAATTAAAAATAAAATAAATATGACGTCATCAGGTGACGCCATGGTAAAATTCATTGGACTAAGTAACTAACAAAGTCGGTATATTATTTATCTTTATTTTTTTTATAATTTTTTTCTTTCATTTTTTTTTTTCGTTTAAGTTTGGAGGGTGGGAAGGGTGCTGTTCGTAGCTGATGAAGACTTGACAACTGAAACCATATTTAACCAACCACACAAAATCCGTGAGGAGTATATTTTTCTGTTTATAAAGAAAAAAAAAACGAACAATTTTTTTTAACAAGACATGCATAATGTGCTGCACTTTAAATAAGTAATCGAGTGTTCTTTATACATCAGGGAAAATGCATGGTCAGTAATTTACTTTACTTTCATAATCACACTACAGTGTTTAGTATATATTAGTGTTCTCATTTGTTTGTTTGCTTTTACTTTTTTGTTGCATTAGTCTTTCCAAGGTTTGACTTATTACGAATCCCTACAAGTGTAATGAACAATTCATATGCATTATATATATATATATATATATATATATATATATATATATATATATATATATATATATATATATAAGTGAACATATTGGAACGAATGTTTATATATAATGGTAGATATTTTCATTTTTTTATTTATAAAGGGTTAGTAATTTCAGTGATTTTGTTTGAGTATTAAATTTTTTTTTTTTTTCGAACTGTGTATTTTCGATTAGGTAGGTGTTGCACTTCAAAGTTTCTGGTGTTATTATTATTATTATTATTATTATTATTATTATTATTATTATTATTATTATTTCAGAAGTTCAATCTGTTTTATTCTTTGTAAAACAGAAAGTGATTTTATTCTCAGAGGTCATACGAAAATATATAAAAGTATATGTCTAAAAAATAGGTTTAGATTTTAAGGCGTTTTTTTTTCTGTTTTAAGAATTTTTTTTCTTTCTTTTTGTTGTTGTTTGTTTGAATAGGTCTTTTAGGAGATAACAGAAAAAATTTTTAACTTAAAACCGATTCTTCTAAAATAAATGATAGTCACCTCCAAGAGCACCGATACTGGATATTGACTTCCGTCTTTCTCATTCTTGCCATTGGAATAAAGAATTACATTTGTTGTTAGTTCCAATTGAATCTCTACGGTGTGGCCTGCAAGACAATACGGTCATGAACAGTGCTCGCTCGTGTGTTTATTCAAATGCATAAATATTTACAATTCCCTCCCAGATCAAACACAACTAAGGATCCAAATGAAGGAAACAACTGTTAGGGTCTGAGAGTTCTCTCCCCTTATAATGCCATTGTTTGTATATTGGTCATTTTATTTTGTGTCGTGGAGGACCAGAATGAAAGTAATTATGTTTTTATATCTATTTTTTATTGTTTGCTGATGGTGTGAATTTACAACAAAAAAATGTATGTACGTGTGTCTATATATGTGTGCGTGCCCGTCTAATCCTTTAAGTGGACTTAGAAAAAAAAATTATATGTATGCATGTGTACATGTGTATGTATGTATGTATGTATGTGTGCCCGTCTAAGCATTTAAGTGGGTTTAGAAAAAAAGGATGTGTATGTATGTATGTATGTATGTATGTATGTATGTGTATGTGAATGTATGCATGTGTGTGTGCGTGTGTTCGTGAGGCCATGTCATCATTTAAGTGAAAATAAAAAGTATGTGTATGTATGTATGTATGTGTACGTGTGTATATATGTGTGTGTGTCCGTCTTAGCATTTAAGTGGATTTATAAAAAAAAGGTATGTGTGTGTATGTATGTGTGTGTCTGAATGTATGCATGTGTGTGTTTGTGTGTGTGTGGCCGTCTAATCATTTAAGTGGATTTAGAAAAAAAATTAACAATATGTGTATGTGTGTGTGTGTGTGTGTGTGTGTGTGTGTGTGTGTGTGTGTGTGTGTGTGTGTACCCTTCTAATCATTTAAACTGTTCGGTCGCCGAGTCTTCGGACAGTTCCGAACTACTCGATCTGTTCAAGTCATTTGGTACTGTCGTCTTGAAAGGACACCCTAAGGAGCTGCCATTTTCAGTTCGTTCCAGTTTCGTTACGTGAACGAAACAGCACGGCTGTGAGATGTCCGTTTTCTTCGGCGGTCGGAATTTTTTCATTTTCGGTTTCTGTTCCTTCTTTTTATTTTTCTTCGATCGACTGAGGTTAAGGATATCGTCGTTGGGATCGGACGTCAATTGACGTAGAACTTCCAGAAACTGCGTGGCCGCCTCAGTGTCGTCGAAACTGAGTCCGGCCAATTTGGTGTGGTCAATCGAGATGTGTAGTGTGTGGAAGCTCGAACTGGGAGCACTGTACTTGGTCAGGTGGTCAATCACGTCACGCCACATAACAAAGCCAGTGCCCTTCTCGGCAAGGATGAAGTGCAACCGGCGTTTGCGGTGATGTTCTCCCGTGTCCAGTACCAAAAGTGGGATGCCCATCATGGCGTATTCCCACTGATCACATTCGGACGACTGTCGCACGGAACCGAAATAAAGGTTCGCTTGGCACTGACACACAAACACCTCTGTCTTGTGGCTTTTGTAAAACATCTCCACCTGAAGCAGGTCGTGTTCCGACAGCGCTTCCGACGCGCAGGTACTTGATGTACTGGCAGTTGACGGTGGCACATCCGAAATATCTGAGGAAGCGTCCGACATGGGTGGTTTCTTAAGATTGTTCTTTGAGTTGTTTTCGCACTGAGAGAGCATTCTGCCTAACGAATCATACTTTTCTGTGATACGACGGATTCCGTCTTTGACCGGATCGACCGGCGGTTTTAAATGTGGGTTCCCTTTCAAGATTTTGTCTGTAGAGCAGTAGACTGGTGGCTCGTTGGCTACGGCGTTGAGTTTCTGTTGTTGTTTCACGGCGGCGGCTGCGGCAAGGAGGCGGCTTTCCTGGGGTCGGTCTGGCGATTCTTCTTTAATCATATACAGGTGAGCACTGTCCATTTTGGGGCAGGCGCTCAGCGGGTCGAGTTAGGCGGCAGTCCACTTGCAAGCAAATGGCAGCATGGTCGCTGTTTGATGAAATGACTATTCTGCAAGTTTCATTCGTTGCAGACAGATGAGATTTAAGAATAGTTTCGAACTTCTTCGGAAAGGGCTGCTCTCTTTTCAAAAATGCAAGTGATCTGCAAAATACAAAAATAAAAGGTTAACATATATATATATATATATATATAAAGAAATATAGTTTTAAGGTGTGCTATATTTATGGGATAAAGTGATCAATATCAGAGATAGAGCGTATGTAAATATAAATATAAAAGTGAACATTGAAGTCAACACTCAGAGGCGACCATCTGTTTAATGCTGGACGATTGCGTCCAGCATGAAACAGCCTGTCGCCTCTGAGTGTTGACTTCAATATTATATATATATATATATATATATATATATATATATATATATATATATATATATATATATATAAGACAAATAGTGAGTAAGTTAATGACAAATGGGGAAAAAGTGACTGTTTAAGAACTTTTTCAGAATAACAACGGTTTTATTGATGAAATCAGTCATTATAATGTAGGGAAGGGAGAAGAAATAAAATAAACACCAGTTACAGTTTACATCGAAACGTTAAAGATACAAAGACGCTCAGCTTTCAATTTAAAAGACGACATCAGGTAAATTTTAACTAAGTTGATCTCATTTCGTTTTTGAGTTTCGTTTTTACGTTTAACTTTATTATTTTCAGTTATTCTCCATTGTATCAGTAGTAGTTTCGTAAAGAAAAAAAAGGAAATGTGTTGCAACGCCGTGGACCACAGAGAATTCCGAAATTAGTGCACTTTTATTTCGCCTTACTCAATTGCGTATTCTTTTAATCAAAACTGCGTTAACTCGAAATTCTTGCCGAACCCATTACGAAGAACAGCTAATGAATTGAATATATTGTTTTAAACTGAGTATTGTTTTGAACTGAGTGTATTATCGAACTGAGTATTGTTGTGAACCGAATGTATTATTGAACTGAGTATTTTTGAGCTGAATATTGTTTTGAACAGTGTGTATCATTGAAAGTTCAAAACAAAACTCAGTTCAATAATACACTAAGTGTCTCATTGAACTGGGTATTATCGAACTGAGTACTGTTTTGAACTGAGTCTTTTATTAAGCTGAGTATTATTGAGCTGAGTATTGTTTTGAACTGAGTGTATTGTTTTGAAAACTATTTTTATGTTGATATAAACTTTTATTTAAATTTTTACGGAAAGTATGATACAGAAATTCGAAGGCGTATTGGGATAGCAAAAGATGCCTTCCAAAAGCTGAGCAAAATATTAAGAAACAGAAAAATATCATTAGAAATAAAGAAAAGAGTATAACTGGAGTATTATGCAATATCAGACTTCCTATATTGCAGTAACTTCTGGACAACCCCCCACCTCGCAGATGAAGAAAAAACGTGAATCAACAGAAATTTGATTCTAGAGAAGGAGGCTAAGAACACCATTGATCGAACAAGTGAGAAACGACGAAATTCTAGAGAGAGTAGTAACAAAAAGTACACTTAACACAAGGAATAAACATTCGAAATTTCTGGGATATATAATGGGGAAAGAAGGCTTGGAAAATTTAATACTCACATGACCGAATGAAGGTAAGAGTGACAGAGGAAAGCAACGAACGACCTACCAGGAGAGCTTGAGCGAATGTATTGTTGTGCAGGGTTTGGGAACGATGGCAAAAAGATAACAGTTATTAAGAGATAAAAAAGAGAGGTGGGCCATGACCGCCAATGTCTTGGAAAGACACGACACATAGAAGATATTTCAAGTACATATTTCTTGAGATATCTTTTGCAATAAATTCATATTTCATGCTCATTGCTGTTATTGCCTTTCTGTTGATCTTACTGATTTTGAAGTAGTTGTAACCATATGTGTATATCGGCATATATATATATATATATATATATATATATATATATATATATATATATATATATATATATATATATATATATATATATATATATATATATATATGTGTGTGTGTGCAATATCGACTTTTATCTATTGTCTTCTTATTCTTTTATTATCCTCTCTTTGTAAAATAATTTTTTCTCATATTCTCTAACGCTCAGTAATCTCTTGCGCCCTAGTGGCTTTATTGCCTTGCTTGGGGTGAAATTATTAAAAAAGGTTATCTCTATATATGAGGATGTATGTTTCCGTGTGTATACATTTGCAAGTATATATATATATATATATGGGGTGGGGGTAGAAGGAAATTTTGAAGACATACACATTTGTTTAACGCATTTATTGCCAATGAAGAGATAAGTCAAGCCCACTACGAATTGTCTGGAAGATCAGCTTACTAACCGCACAAAGAAGCACCCAACACATTTACAAATGCGTATTATTTCTGTCTGAATTTTGAGATGAGAACTTATCATTAATTACATTAATTACACCCAGAATAATATCCTCATCTTTATTATTATTATCATTGTTCTGCCGTTTTATTCTGCGGCCTTCTTCATGTATCTCTCGAGCGGATAAGCTTCGGAAAATTTCGAACTGCACCCTTTATTTGGTCTGATTATTAAATACTATATTAAAGTATCAATCTGAATATTAAATATATTTAATCTAGGAGGATATCTCGTTTTCTCGCACTGCCCAGCAATTTGTAGTCCGAATCCAGTAACTGTGAGTCTGTTCTACCCGGTTCAGGGATTGAACCCACTATTAACATGACATCAAATTCACAAACCAACGCTTTAGCCTATCAGGCTATTGTCCCGTTGCTTATTCAGTTTAGATTAGTCTGGATTAGGACACAAGTTTTTGGAACAGAAATGGCACTGAGGGTGACTGTCCTGTAGTTTCAGTCAGTCATGTGCCATGCGTGATACACGCTTAGGCGATCATGTATCTTTCGATGCATGAGAGAAGAGTCAGATTTTTCCCCGCGGTAAGTTTCCATTTCTTTACTGTTTAATATATGATATATCTGTAACACTTGTTTTGTTAAACCATTTACTTGGTTACAATATCTTGGCGACGAAGATGAGATACGAACTCACTCATCCTCTTCTTCTCCCTTCAGCTATGGTTAAATAGCAGGACATACTGGGTTCTATAGCCTTGGATGGCTACTTTTCTACGAGAAGGACAACTCTGAATTTAAACCCGGAGTGGAGCCCCTAAGGCGGATGGACGGCACTTTGTGCTACCTTCCGGCAACTCCAGCAGCCGCACTGGTACCAAACTGTATTGGTTTATCCTCTCCTTTGGACTCTGCTAGCAAGGCCGAGAGGGGGAACTAGATGTCTGGGCAGCCCTAGTTCTCCATAGTTCACCGCGCTATTCCATCGTCTCTCAAGACGGACGGATACCGACGACGATTTACTATGTTTAACTTTGTTTGGCATGAGGCCGATAGCAGGGAAATAAGATTGTCTTCCGCTAATCTTTCAAATACGAAAAAGTCAACAAGGCTTTGAAAATCTTCTTTCAAAATGCTGTTTTTTTACGCGGACTCGAACACTGGCTTATGGAATGAAATAATCTCGTTTTTAACTTTATATCAGTCAGTTATGTGCCATACGTGATACACGCTTAGGCGATTATGTATCTTTCGATACATGACTGACGAGGCAGATTTTGTTTCCCGCAGTATGTTGCCATTTCTTTCTGCAGTAGACCAGTTGCCAACCAAGGCTATAGAATCTGGTCTGTCCTGCTATTTACCCATAGCTGGTTTGAGAAGAAGAGGATTCATACCTTTCCCAAAAGTATGTAAGTGAAATTAATGGATTTGACTTTAATTCGAAATCAATCGAATCCATTACATTCACTTACGTGCTAAAACCGTTAGGAAAGGTGTGAATCCTCTTCTTCTGCCCTCAAGCTATGGGTAAATAGTAGGACAGACCGGGTTCTATAGCCTTGGATGGCAACTGGTCTACCGCAGAAAGAAATGGAAACCTATTGCGGGAAAAAATTGCCTGTCCTGTAGTGAGTCATTCTCAATATTATGAGGTTGCATTTAAATGGGTAGAATTGTAGGTCGGTTAGAAAGAAACGAGTTATGGAGACATCGAGTTGACGCTAGAATATCAAAAGGCAATCATAAGATTGATATGGGGAGAAAAAGAAATGGGAAGGGACACGTGCAAGGGTGGGGGTCCAGGGAACAATTAATCAGTTTCTTTTGAAAAGAAACTCAGCACACCCCTGATGGATAAAACAGGGTTCACCCACTGGTGATTGGCGGGGCAAAAAGAAATTCACAGTTAGGAAAAGAAGCAAAAACTATTTTGTTTGATTTGCCATCAAACGAATGGTTACAGATGCGTCTAATGATAAAATAACACCCGTCACAAAAGGATTGGCTCGTTCACAGCACACCCAACGCACCTAAGAATGCCAAACACCTAGAGAGAATGCTAAACATGCGATGAAATTCAACCCGAAGGCGAATTATTCAATCTCAAACCAGTTGGGAATTTTTTAACTGAGGCTGTTGCCTGTCAACGAATATACAATACGGATAACTGCCTGTACGAAGTCATTATTACAAAAATCGTCGCGTAGTCGAAATTGGATTTATTATGTTTCTTCCACCTGAAGGCTTTGTGATGGTCTAAGTCACGGTTGGTCAACTTTTTTCCATTGCAGGCGTTAATTTTTTCTTATCAGAAATTAGGAGTTCCAGACTGAGTTGATCTAAATAGCAAGACTATAAATCAATGACGATCACAGTAAAAGTTAGCCCGTGCCATAATTGCCAATACGTTCAGTACCGGAAGTTTGCTCATTGATTTACTTCCGCAACGAGCCATTTAGTTATCAAAATGGTAATCAAATGTCTCTACCATTAGATGTAAGAAAAAAAGGAAAGAGAAAAGAAAAGATAAAGAGATGTAGAATATAAGAAAGAAAAGAAAAGAATGGAAGGAAGGAAGAAAGAAAAGGCAGCGGGTA